GATTGTAGAGGATTTGCATAATTTGCCGTCTTTTTCTAACATCCAGACTCTAAACAGTGTCAAAGAGATTCTTTCAAATCATAGAAGTGAATAAATGATTCTGTTTTGCAAGAAAATTCTAATGCTATAGTTCAAACTAATCCACTACTTTTAACAACATCAGAGAAAGGTTCCCTATCTACAGATTACCCGAAGGAATTTATATTTCAAGGAACAATTTTCTGTTATAGAACCCATAGAATATCTTTATAACACAGCCTATACAACTGCTTTTGTTTACATATCTGTCACTAAAGCACTTGAGACTTTATTAGGACGGGCAGATTCTTTGGACGAAATGAAGAAGAACAAGAAGAACGTCACATTGATCCGGCATAAGATGGAGCTTACATGTTCCCTTAGACAGAGAGAGGTAGTAGAGGGGAAGCCTATGGTATCAGAAGTCCAGGAGAGATGGCCTGCACTGTCCTCATGTATTGTCTTATAATGCGTATTGTAGTGTGTGTAACTAAGAAGGAGTGATTATACTACATTGACTTTAACTGAATAAATACAGGATCTGCTGTTAGTGGTGTACAGATATATTGGCAAACTCTACTATACGTCATTCTATCACTCAACTACAGGCCCCTCCAACAAAATTTGACCATGACATTCATTGTTTTAAGTTTGACAGCAGTTTTTTTTTTTTTTACAAATTTCAGGATTGATGGCTACTTGGGTGCAAATTTGTAAAAAAAAAAAAAAAAACTGCTGACAAACTAAAAACAGGATTACAGGACTAAAGCAGGATTGCATGTTTTCTTGTTTAAACCATCGCCAAAAGTACACTGTTTATCCTAGCATGAAGCTGTAAAAAACTTCAGAATTGTCAGTGTAGCCCTCTGGTAATTTCTTTACATGTGTTCTTTGAAATTTCTGGAAAACAATACATTTGCATTTGTGTTCATAGGCAGAGAAATATAGTTTGGAAAAGTACTTGAGTGTCCTACAGTTCGAGTTTGCGTTATTTTTCTTTTATAGCATTATGACTTTGTTCTACTGTACACAAGACGTGTTTGAGTTCCCTCAACTTCTAGCCATGAGTAAAATGTGACAGGAGCAAAAAACACCCCAAAACTACTTGGTGTTCAGAGGGTTAAAGTAGCTTTAAAATTATACAATATGCTCAGAAATGCAAATCTTAAATAAATGCGAATAAATGCTAATAATTTTATGTATCATACTCTGTGGAAGATTTTATTTTGATCCCAGTGATGTTTAAAGAATGAGTTCACCCAAAATTAAAAGTATAAATACACCTCCCCAGTGCAGTTTATCATCAGTCCAGTTTATTGTGGTGGTGAATTTTTCTATGATTCTTTTTTTCTGCCGAGGGGCAACAGTCAACCCGAAACAGCCGGCCATTGTTGGCTGTTGTTCTTTGGCAGAAATACCATGTAACAAAACTAGTCACAACAAGGTTGGTGGACAGGCATGGGACAATATAAAAATGTCATGTCATGAATATTCTCGCCACAATATTTACAATATTACCTCAATGGCACTAAAATATACTGGAATTACATAATCTGACTTTTTGTTAAGAAACAAATATTTGTTTTACATCACAGATAGGACACATCTTTTAAGTGGATGTCCTTTTCGGTGAAAGATAATCTTAAATAAGGTAATCATACATCATAAGACACCCCTGCATAAACACAATGTTGCATAAATAGCAACATTGTGTGAGCTTGTTATTTCTGATACGATAATTATTTTAAAACCAGGCTCTATTTTTCACTCCACCATGATACCAAGCTAGACAGCTTCACGATGAACTTATTGTGAGTGTGTTAATCTCAATCCACGATAAAATCCTATACAGTCCCATTGGTGGGTGACAGCAGCCGTGCCGTTAAGACACAATTTCAACATTTATTTATTTTTAAACGTCCACAAGCTGAATGGCAAGAGTCAGTAGGATGGTACCAAAGTTAAATTTAGAATGAGTAGAAATGTATTTTCTCTTTAAACTTTCCTTCGCACTCAATCATGCATCTGTTGCTTTTCCTCAGGACACTGACCATGAAGAGAGAGTGCTCAAAGGTGTGTCTGTTGCCATCCTCACCATCAGTGAAGATGATGATGCTGCCATATCACCAAATGTGCGAGATGTAGCGGTCGTGTTGGACAGGACCGTCGTGCTTCATGACCTACCAGACCTCTCTACTGCCTTTGTATACCTCTTTGGCCGACTGTATGCCATGAACATTGATTATCCAAAGGAGATGAGGTGTAACTTTCAAGTGATTCAGACTACTTTTTTCGAGCTTGTCTCTCGATGCTCGCAGCGCATGCAGTCTCTGAAAACAAAGCTTTTGCTCTAAATGATAATGGGGAAGCCAGACAGTACCTAAAGCTTTGTTTTCTCCTGTTTGAGTGCATTGTTGTTTGTTCTCATGTTTAACCATGTAAGTCACCTTCACCTCTGGAATAGAGATTCACAGAATTTGTAGAAATGTCAGTTGCCAGTTCACAGTAGGGACATATCCAATGTTTTAACTATTCAAGTTCATTGTTAGTACTCAGGTATGAGTTAGGTGAATGTACATGCTTGCACGTGCAGACATGTTAAGTCTACAAGTCCCCTTTGCCTGTGAAATAGAAATATGTGGACGTGTCAGTTTCCAGTTCACAAGATGTGCTAATATATTATCAGTGTATTTATAACTTTTAACTGGGCTAATTCATTGTGGTTAGTGCTCATGGAAAACCTATACTTGTACAGCCACTTAACTATGTTGAGGTGGTTGGTAGGATTAGTTTGATTTCTGTTTACTTAAGGCCAGACTGACCTCATTGAGTACTTTTAACTCATGTTCAAAATATTTTTAACAAGGAGAAATAAACAAGGTTTTAGCTAACTTTGAGCTGTGTGCCCTTTTATTATATGTATTATTGTATTTGAGAATTCCTTTAATACAATTACAGCAACATACCTTTACATTGAGTTATCTAGGACAATTTCTATCTCACTGAAGCAAGAATTATATATTTATTCAACTAGTATATCTGTGTTTGTTGAAGGTAGAAATACATGGCATTGAAACAAAGATTTTATTGTTAGCCTCATAGGAATATCATAATTCTGTGAACAAGAAAATCTAAGTTGGCAGAACTCGAAATACAATTACAGCAACATAAATTTGTATTGATTTTTTTTGTCTCACTGAAACAAGAATTGTATATTTATTCAACACAAATATCTGTGTTTGTTGAAGGTAGAAATACATGGGATGTCATAACTAGGTGAACAAGAAAATTGAAGTTGGCAGAACTTTTGTCTAAACTTGTAAATCTTAGTTAAGTCAACTACTGTAGTCGAAAGTTGAGAAAACTTAAAAAAATCTCTTGCATCAAGTTGCCTTGATAATTTAAGTTTTCTCAAGGTATATTTTTTTACAGTGTACAAAAATACATGCAGCATATACACTGAGCTCAGCTCGACAGATTCCTCTCTGCTGGCCCTTCCTCTCTGGTCCCAAACCACCGCGGCATGAAAGACAAGTCTGTATGCTCCGTGGTAGCAGGAGACTTGTATGGACCTTGTTGACAGCTTCAGATGAACCATTCCCCAAAGAAACACAAACTAGGGAGAGGTTCTTTTTTTTTTTTTTTACAAACTTGTTTTTCCCCCCAAACGCAGATATTTCCCCCAACAAAAAAAATCTAAACTTTTAAAAGACTGGGTTCAGAGTTGCTTTGATTTTCTGATATATTGCTCTGCTTAAAAGAGATTTATCAACTAGGCAAGGCTCTGAAGACGAGCAATGCCCATGCGACTCGACAGAGTGCCAGTGTAACTTGTTATGAAACAGTCAACATTTTCAATTATAAATTCATCTTAAAATGTTCAAGCACTTGATCCAGTGTGATGAGCTATTCAGCCAGAGCCAACAGAAAGTCTCAAATGTAACCTTTCCATATTTCATGTGTTCTAATCTCTGTTAAACTAGTTAGTGAGCAGAAAGCTACAGAGCTGGCCGGTGGGTTTTGGCGAGGGTGTGTGTGATTCAAACAATTCAATAATATACAGTAAGCCGGTTTACAAATCAGCAAGCAGGCATTTTCTTAAGAAAACATTCTTGGCACAGTGTGACTGCCGTGATTCCCTCTATGCTGCTGTGCGATTTGTATTTGTTTAAGGGTGTTAATGAAGGGTTGCATGAATAATTAAAGACACACAAAGCCACAGCCCTATGAAACACATGAAGCATAGTGTGTGTGGGGGGTATTCTGGTGATCGGATGCTGACCCCTACTGGACGGCCCTGTTGCTGAATTCAACACTGGTAAGACTGACTCAACATGGTTTTCGGGCACCACCACAGGCCACACCTATAACTATTAATGCATTAATAGGTCAGTTAAAGTGACATTTAGTAGTTAGTAGTTAGTAGTTAGTAGTGAGAAAGCTCTTATTTCTATTTAAAATATTTATTTCCCTCTCTTCATATCATTTGCAAAACGAAGAATGAGAACCTTAATATTATCAGTGAGCTATGTGAGGATCAAGATGCGAGTGCTTTTCAGCCCTTAATTCAGATCATAATGAAGTCCACTGATTCGTTCCCCTCACTCGGATCTCACTCACACACACAAACCACATGTACAACGCTTCCCTGTGAACAACAAAACAACTTTTTTTTGTTGCCCTACAAGTTGAGGAAGGCCCGCTTCCCAATTCCTCCTTACTTTTTACGCCATCCCCCGTCTACCTCATACACACAGTCACACACCCACCAGCGCTGCCACCCCACCCGGCTCAATTAGCACTGCGGGTCCAAGGGTGTGAATTATTTAGTGATGAATTATTAATAAATAATAACAAAGGGGCTCGGGGGAGACGCAGCCCGGTCAATTAGGAGAGAAGGGAAAAGTGAATACGAGCAGCGGGGGGTTGGACGCAGGGGATCTGCAGCTGATCTGATCATCATTATCGCCGCCCGTCAGACACAATTACCTCGGCTCCGCACATCAAACAACAGCCCCTCCCTCTGACTCTGACAGCCCTCCACTTTCTACTGCCTCTGTTTAGCCAACACACTCACAATACACAATCTACAACCATCTTGGATATTAATCACATATCGTAATATGGCCACAAAAAAAACTTGCTGATTATGCTAAAAATAATATATCAGGACACTTCAAACATGCAGAGGCTCAGGTCAGTAGTTCAGTTTCTATTATGTATGAGTGAGCAAGGTACAGTTGCCCTTTAAAACGTGTTCAGTCTCTTAGATGTTATCATGATTTATTGATATACAACAATGAATAAAGGGGGATTTAATGTGGCCTTTTTTGACAAAACTTTTAATGTCAAAGTGAAAACAGACCTATACAAAATATCTCAATTAATTAGAAATATAAAAGAGTTATGAACTCCCCTTTATTGGACAAACCTAAATCATTTTTAGTGCAGCTAATTCAAAGTTATAATTCGTCAAATTGAGATCACATGTGTGTCGTCAAGGGTTTCAATTGATGGCATAATAAATAAACATGTTTGGAAGTTAGTATTCTTGGATTTAATGTTGCAGGAAAATAAAACATGAAAACTTCCAAGGGAGATTAATGAAACAGTTAACAATTGCAGCAAAAAAAACTGTAAAACGTTGATGGCGACTATGCAAATAGCACAGAAGAGGTCCTGTAATGTTACAGAGACATCTGGTAACTTTGAACACACAACCCACTGAGTGACATTCTGTAGGTGCAGTACAGTACACTCTGAGTGAAAGTATCGGTACATAAGAAGATTGTACAGTAGTTTTCAAGCATTCTCTCTATCTCGGTGTCTTTTCGTCTCATTAACTCAAATGGATTTGACTTGTCATGGTTCATCTATAATTTTCCACAAGCCTTTGATATTCAGTCTGCAGATATTAAAAATGCAGGGTTAACTTGTCTCTAAGCCTGCCTCTGTGTGTGGAAAAGTCTCTCAACACAGGGGTTTGGGTTTGATGTGATATGCAGAAAGAACTGCAGGAAACTTTTGTGAAAATGTTAAGATATCTTTTTTTAAACATTATTAATAAACTATAAATCAAATTACTTTGGAAAATATGCTCCTTTGAAACTGTTAATTCTCCTGAAGATGCAATATAGTTTGAGCAGTGCATGTGTGTAATGTCATTAAAACCATACTGTTTTCCACAGGCATTCACTTAGTTTACCGGGTATTTCAGACATTGTTACATATTTGTCAAACTGTTACTGAAGTTGAACATATTCAGAGCATGTGACTGTTTGATACCACAAGATGGTGCTAAATGTAGCCTTATAAAAAGTACTGTAATGCTCTTATTTTGATCATTTTCAATAATTTAAGCAGCAAGACCTCAACAAGCTTATATAAAGATATTTGCAATGTAGAAGTGAATACTGTTTCTTCTTTGTATGAGTTCAATGCCTCTATAGCAGAGTGAATATCTCCGACGTATTCATTGTGCATTATGGTTTTGCAATGCTACTCCAAGTGCACAAGGGGGCAGCCTTTGTCTGTTGAACAAGATAGACCCCCCTTCAAAAGATGACAAAGTACAAACTCACCCATCCAGAAGAGTCTGCTGTTATGTCTGTCAATCCCAGCAACAGTGTAGCTGAGCACGTTCTCCAAGAGCCGTCCAACCTGCAATATAGACCAGTGGAACAAAAGGTATTTCAGTGTCTTTGATTATTGAAGGAGAACCTATGAAAGTCTACAGTAACACCAGATGTGATGACAAATTAGATTCAAAGCGGTCCGTCATCACAAAAATAGAATTACTGCATGCATCACGATAATATTCGATAATTAACTTGCAGACTAATATCAGATTTTGCTATTAAAGTGCAGCTTCTCTTAATGGCCTAAAGCCCACTTGCCAAATCCTTAGAAAAAGAAACATGGTGCACTTCCCAAAAATGATTGATTAAACAGGAGAGCTGACTGCGGTCTTACTCAGACAGTTTGTGGCCAATATGAGAGGATAAATCTAGCAGCGGGTGACGGATAATAGCTGACCAGAAAAAAGAACAGTAACTGGGCAAAGGATTTTTTCTGTCAAGGGAAGCTTGCACACCATGACTGACACTCTGTAATACTCATAACACACTGTTATTTAGTTCACTTTATTGTGTACGCCGATGAGGTAACATTTTCTTTCTGCAGTAAATTCTGTAAAAATTATGAAATAATGTCAGTTTCAAAAAAAGGTTAGTCTCAGAAGGGGAAAAAAACAACCTTCTTGCTAAAACCATATTGATTGCCTCCAAGCCTTTCTGTCATCCATCTTCTCTCTGGGAATATCGATGACTTTAACTACTCAAAGAGGATACAGTGAAGCAGAAAGCCAGTCTGGGAGATGACCATCTTTTTATGAATAATACCTCCTCTCTCTGTATCTGTTTTAGTAGCAGAGGTATTTTGTTAGTCTGGGAGGTTCAGAGAGAGAAGAAGTGTCTCAATTTGCATCAGCATGTTTGAGGAAACGTGCTCTTTAAGGGCCCTTCTGGGGATTAACAGAAACACAGATACACTTAGAAAAAAACTGATGGTATTGTAAAATATTGTAGGTACAGTGTGATGAAAAATTACACAAATGTTCTCCAAAGTAGACACAACGATGTGTAGAAAGTGAGAGATCTTTTTCAAGAGTATGCTTAGTTGTCTAGTTTTGTTGGACTTGGAGGTCAATGGGTGAAAAGACAATCAGATATCACGCTGTCTGTTGAGCTCAATTATACTGATCTCACTGACCAGGCTCAGCATGCCAACTGCACAGCTTCTCTGTAAAATGCTTAAATATTTATGGGCAAACTGCAGTCACCAGAAACAAATGCATTTTAAACGTGATTTTCCAGACTGACATTTTGTCCACCATATGATGGCCGGTCATTATGTGGATTAAGAGCCATGAGCAAATTACTCGTGGTTACTATTGACCACAAAGGTGAAGGTTCAATCAGTTTGGAGGCGATGAACTAATGAGTCCATCAGGGAAGGGTTTGGTTTGGGTAAAAACTCAAGTCATCAATCAGACTGATAAAGAATAATGCATGCACAGAGGCTCTATGACAATAAACATAAGCCAGTATGCATTTCAATTAAAATGAATGGTTCACAGAAACACTTCATTTAGATACACAATCGCAATTATACAGGAAGTTGTACATATTTATCAGTGAAATATTTAGTTATACAAAAAATACTTTAACTAACTAAAACTTCAAAAACTAGCACTGCCTGTGTGTTCCCTGTGCTTTGATATTTGTTTGACATAACAAAACTGAGAAGTGAAATCTCTGAGTTGGACTTACCCTGTTTAAATTGGTGAAACAGTGCCACGCCGCGCCAATGCAGACTCCCATGACATCGATAACCGTGTTGCAGTGGTCTCTGAAAGCCGCAGACAACATCAGACTATGACAGCAGAGGATATATGCTGCTTTACACAGATTTAGTTTCTTTATTTTAACTCTTTGCACTTTTAAGTAACTGTTGTGTAGCTGACTGAACAAACAGACAAAACGTACGTTAGCTTGCTAATATATGACCCATTTAGCATGAATACATAATAAATAAATTTAAAAAGGAAGTAATAGTTATCTGACGTGATCATCGTAATCCTGGTCATGACTGTTTAACTGTTTAAATTACTTTGAAAAACAATGACACAATATACCTCAAATTACAAAACGTTATGTTAATAATGTCCGATTGAATGAAGAAATAACATCAGCTAACGTGAAAGTTATGTTACACTTTGTGATGCTATACCGACTTCAAGTTTATACTTTTGAATATTTTTAATTGGATTTATTGGACGTGTTTCCTTGCAACCTTAACCTTCCTTACCAGCTCAGATGTTTCATAGGTAAATGGAGTAACCCAATTTGGGAAATCACTAGTTTGAAACTTGATAATAGAGGTCAGGAAGAACTTTACACTCAAACTTAGGAACACATTTGTGAATAGGTGACCCAAACCAGTCAGAAAAGGCAGCTGTAGAAATCCATTCATCATTTGAACTACAGATTCAACTTACAGGAGCCACTCTATAACCACTAGAATGGAGGCTTCCTTTGCAGGTAAACCAGCCGCTGTCTAAACAAAAAAAGTGGTCATGACTCCTGTAGCTGGGATCCCTGCTGCTCCTATATGCTTGACACTGCTGATGTCACACTACAGATCAAACACACATACTGTACTCTACACAAACTGTACCATGCATTTTTTTAAGTCTCCTCTTAAAAACCTCAAATTAAATACTTTACAACAATATCAACTCTGTCTATGTGATGATGATGCTAAGATTTCTTAAAGAACAGGAAGAGCAACTTATGCAACTATTTTTGTATGTGTTTTTACTTTTTTTATACCAGGTGTTTTGAAGAGGCTGACTCCACTCTCATCCAGCCCAGCGGGACCTTTCAGCTCCTCTATGGTCAGGTGGATGAGCCGAAATGTCTCCTGAGCCCCAAGCGTGACCCTCCTCACGTGGTGTTTGAGCTGCTCCCTGGATATGTAGCAGCGGACAACATCCTCGTCTGAGACCGACTTCAGAGTTGCCGGGTCCTTGGCTCTGATGAGCAGCTCCGGGTCTGAGCGGTTGTAGTCCAGCACTGCACCAGCTAGAGCACGGTGTATGTACGGGTTCAAATCTAGTCAGGCAGACTCATCTTTTTTTGTAGAGCACATTGAGCTGAACATGTCTGTAAAATTTAAAATCAATTAATTTCTCCATATAAACCTCATGATATTTCTGTGTGTTCACAGGTGAAGAATGGTCACATCAAGAGAATCATGGATGATGACATCCGCTCACTGGTGTTGGATGTAGCCTATGGGGGATAAACGTCAGGTGAGTTTATGTTTAACTGATTCTTCAGCTGAGGTCAACCTATTTAAGCACTCTTCACCCTCATTCATCTCCCTTGTCTTTCTATTTTATCCCTGCAGTAGTACCAACTACATAACGTGTCCCGCAGACCCCAAGAAGACATCAGGCTTCCTTTTCTCGTTATGACCATCAAAAATCTCAAGGAGGAATTCAGCTTTGAAGTTGAGGTAGGGTAGGCAGATACAGATACAGACGGCTTCCATGTCTTGGTGTCAGAACAAACAAAGGTGTGATGCATAGTTATGGGTTTCTTCCTTGCAGTCACCAGATTCATGCTTTCTTCCTATCTTTGAAAAAACATTTAGGTGTTAGATAATACAAATTATCAGTGGTGTTTCAGGATGAGCAATTATCAAAGCAGGACACGAGTGTACCCGTCCATCTGCTTTATGCCTATGAGCCTGGATGATTGCTGGAACCGGATACAGCTCAATCTGTCAGACCTCACCAGGGGGACCTATGGAACGCATTACGTCATGACGCTGCGTGTAGAGGTCAGAGACGGACTGGGAACCAGCTGTCACCAGATGCACTTGTGTGCCTGTAGATCCTCATTTCTGTTGCTAATTTCTGAACTGTTTTCCTCTCAGATCCACGCTGTTGAATAAGGAGAATTTACTTCTCAGACAGACTGTCAAATACCAGATGAAATAAACAGCATTAAATACATCTGTATCAATAACCTAGACAATAAAAAAACACAGGTAAATATAATTAAATCTATGGTTAAATAATAATATACTGCTATCTACTAGTAGAAATGGTAAACACTCTGCGTCTCCTTTTACAGGCTGTGCTCTGCCTTCACTCAAGGAACAGAATATGGTGGAAAAATAAATATCAGTGCCAACAGCAACAACTCTGTGAACACAAACATGGCTTTGATTAAACTATGTTACGAACTGTATTGCATTAAACAATGCACTGATTAATCGAAAAGTTTATTCTTGCTGTATACATGGATACATGCATATTAAATCACCTATAGTCCACTACTGTTGCTAACATACCCTCATCGGCCCAGATGTATTTATTTATATTCATTAATTTATTTTTCTTCTGTTATCCTGGTATGTGCTTGCATCATCGACTGTAAATAGCAATTGCTCGCATACGGTCATATTGCTTTGACTTTTATTTTGAAATCTTCGTACTTCCGGGTCACCTGTCTTGCTTTGCGTCTCTCTTCAAAAGAGAAATTTAGTAAAAATCTAAATCGGCTCGTTGTTTGACTTTGGTTCTCTCGTATTTTGGTTTTTGGCTTCAGACAACAAAAACGTGAAAACAGTGGTGCTCTTCTATTCTCCTGTTTCTCGTTTAAAACGTGGTATTTCTGCGTGTGTGCTGTAAGGAGGAACTAGTACACAGCTCAGGCGGGGCTGTTCCTCCCTCTGTCCCGTAGCGGTCGTCTCAGCTCATCTGTGTACATTTACAGCGACAGCAACCCGTTTCCAGCCGGGGACACCGGGACTAGCGAGGCTCACGTTGAGGGAGTATCACTGACCGGAATGCCCCAACAGCACGGCTAACACGTTTTCACGGCTGACGATGGCTTCGGTGCGGATGGTCGGCAAAGTTACGGCGAGACTTTTGGGAAGTATTCAGCCTCTTCGCTGCGGTCTCAAAACTACCCGCCCGCTTCCATTTCTTCACCAGGTAAAGCAACCGTTACACCGACGTTGAGTACTTAGACCACCGCGCGCGCGCACACACGTTTGACGGACTGGTTTCCTGCTTTGTGAACACAACGCGGTGTACTTTGCTACACTGTGTCGACGTGAATAGCTAACGTCAGTCATTTGAGGGCATTGTTCAAAGACTGATTTCTTTTTTTTTTCTGTTACAACAACTTCACCTGTCTAAAATCTGGTGTAAACCTATAACTAAAATAAGAGATGTTGGTTGCTATTGTGCTTGAATGTGATCCATTTTCACATTGGCGCTAATTGAAGTATTTCAACTGTGGAGAGAGGCAACACTCACTATCTGCCCCTGTCTGTCAGTCATTATCTGTTTTCTATTTCAAATAACAAATCAATTATTCATGTGCATTACCTTCCTCTACAGGGGAACATGACCGACTGACCATCACAGCACCTCCTCACTAAAGCAGTGCTCATTCAATTACCCCTCTAAGGAAGCTGTTAATGGAGAAAGAGACCATGATTAGGCTGCTATTTATACACTTCTAAACTTTAAGTAGAGACTTGCTTTGCCCTTCACAATCCCAAGAGACACCATTAACACTGCTGTACTCTGCAGCTGACAGTATGCTCAGCATCAAGATCAATATATTATTAGCATAATGCTAGAGTTGTGCATTAGGCTTGTCTGCATTTATTTTTCAACACTGATCATCATGTCTGAGTAATTGTCAAAGATGGAGCGTAAATGTCTTCCTGTATGAATCACTTGAATGCTCAGTTTGAGAGAGAGAGAGAGAGAGAGAGAGAGAGAGTGAGAGTGAGTAGTGGTGCTGCAGAAAATGAAACCCCACATGGAGCATAACCAAGAGGCGTCTGTGGTTCTACTTACTCCTGTTATTAATGAACTGTTAAATCTCAAATGTATGACCCATTTTTGTCATCCATTGCAAAAAAATATGCATAGGTCAGCTGAGTCGTGAGCTCCTGAGCGGACGCCCCGTATCTGTGCAGGACGAGCGGGGCACGCTGTGTTGCTAAATGCCAAGATCTCCATGCTGAGTGAATATTAACTTACAGTTTGAGGGATTGAAGAGAATTACATTATTTCGGTTGGATGGGCAAGCTGCCATGAGTCACTCCTCAATGCAAGTGTGACCAAGATGATTTCTATTTTTACACTGCATCATAGTATATATAATCACAGTAGCAGTTTTCCCATTTCCCCCTTTTGGCAGACTGTCTTGCTCCGGCTACCCATGGACCTGCAAACCCAATTTAGAGCGCCGACATTATTTAAACAAAAACAGAACTCCTCTAACTCATCGGTGTGCTCAGCGTGTTCCAAACTCCCCTCTTTGAACCTCTGAAGATACAGCAGTTTAGCCTGCTTAATTACATGCAACAATGGTCCTTGCAATTTCAGGGCCAACGTCTTTAACTCCTCCATCACCCCCACATTGGAGGAGTGGCAGCATACCGGGTTGTTTTTGAATAGGCTGGTACAACACGTGCTGTAAGAGAGCCATTGACAAGACAGATTGTATAAATACGGCTGCCTATAAAACCAGTTTTAGGAATCCCTAAAGCAAGATGGCAGTTTATATATGAGATGATCTAGGAAGCAGTAGCTAGTGATAAAAGGGATCAGTGTCGCCAGACGTGTTGGATAAGCAACTGAAAATAGATCTCCTTGAATCGTGAATTAACAGGTGTTTGCTAAATCAGTTGAGTGTGCGCTTTCGGCTGCTCTTGTGATACCGCAGTCGGGGGAAAGTGTCCTTTTACGTCTGATTTTATTTAAAGGATTTGTAAAATGAGACATCATCCACTAGTATGCCGGAGATAAAGCCTCAAACAACATCTGCTTTCATTTTTCTAGTGCCCTCAGCAAAGGATTACCACTTGGGGAAATGTTATCAAGGCAGACAGTCACATTGCTGTTTTCATAGTGGGCTGCCATGTTTGTGACTCCTGGATGTGTGGGTGACTACCAGTAGCAGGTGTGATTGCAAACCAACCTATTTCCCGAACTACAACTCCTTTTAAGCATGGAGTGACAACACCGCAACATTGTGTTATGGTCATTCCTTCACATATACATTTAAATATTAAATAGTAAGTACATGTATGCCTGATGGAGAGATAACTATCTATACCACAGAAACCTTTGTCACTGACGTTTTTTTGTCTGACGTCTGGCTCCATCTGCTGTGTTGCACATTTCATCGTCTAGAGATGGCATTATAATGGAAGATGGTGAAAGTTTCATCTCAGCAAGCCTGACTGCCTGCTTCTCAGTGTGAAGACGGGCAATGCCAGGCCGGCATAGCGGCTGTTCCTTATGCGGGCAGCATCCACAGAAGTATCTCTTTCAGACTTGTGTTTCACTCTGTAAATCAACGTCTTCTTGATCTTGGGACCAGTGTTGCTCAGTATGGGAAATTCCTTCAACAGAGCTGTAGTGAGAGAATTAGTGTTAAAGTTAGTTGACTCCATTTTAAACCTGGTATTAACATGTGATCTAGGTCAAGTAAGCATACCCTATATTCCATCCGGAGACTTTCGTTGCATGTCATACTGCTTTCTCCCCCCCATGTTTCCTGTCTGCTTCTCTTCTAACAGCTGTCCAGTAAAAAAATGATTAAAAAGATGTATGAGGGAAAATGCATGTTAATGTAAAGTGTAGGCCTATTGCATGCAGAACCAGTTGGAATGCTTTCAGATAGAACACATCCGGAGGTGGTCTGGCTCACATGTAATCAGATCAACACATTTTTAATTTAAAAAAATCTGCCCAACAAGGTAAAAGGTCACCTAAAGTCTTATACTTTTCGCAAACGGTCTCAAAGCTCGTCAAGGTTCTCCGTTTCCTTTGCCCGTCTGCGTCCGTGTGTTGGATGTGCACAGAGAGGCGAACTCATGCCAAACAAAAAACCCACGGGGGCCGTGCCTGATGGCGGGACGTCGCTCATGCGGATGCGGCAAGCATAAATCAAGCTTGACTGTGCCACTTCGTCCTGCCTCAAGCAGGACTGGCAAAAGGCTATGGAT